TTGAAAAGTGCTTTAGTGTGTTTGCTCGTTTGAGTAAGGCCAAGTGACGTAACGTGTTCTTTTTTTTTTTTCAAGCAATATTCACTAAAGAATATTCTCTTGCAAAGCACAACATTTTGGGCCCATGGCAGCACTTAGAAGCAAGCCATACTTTTGTAAATTTTTCGTAATTAAAAATTTTTTAAAAGTATGTCTTGCGCGAACACTTCTAACTCAAGTTCCACTCATTAAAAAAGTTTTATTTTTTGCAGTAACATAAAAAAACCTTGGGCCTGTGCAATGAACCAAAACATATGAAATCTGATGAATGTTAGTAATTAAATAGTAATTAAAATAGTAATTAAATAACCAAAAAAGTAGGCACTAGCACTATGTGCACCTTCGTATAATAAGCAGCCATATTAAATCTGGTGGCACGACTATGCTTAATGAGGTTCATTGAACACCTACTAATGTGATAAAGAAGTGTGCCAAGTTTTAGTGAAAAATGTTTATTAACAAAGGAGTTACGACTATCAGAAATAGTTATGACTATCAGAAAAATGTCAGAAATATAAGTTATGAGAAAATTAAGAAACAAGATTTGAAACAGGTGCAGTGCTTGGAGAAGATGGTCAGGAAGGCCAAACTTCTCAATATTTGTAGCCAGTTCCATCGTGGACCTTACTACTGTGTGCCTTTTCTCGAGTGGCAACTCTACATTTTTTTCTAGCTTGTTATGCAGCATCAGTGCCATGATGGGGTGCTTTTGCGCTCTAGTGCGGATCATTTGTGAGGCACGCTTTTGTAGTGTGAGGGCCAAGCTCGATCTGAATTTGCTTAGAAATATCAAATGTACTTCTATTTTCATTATTCAAATGACACACATCGTCAACCAAAGCAGATTTGATGGTTTACAGGCTCACATACGTGTCCTTAAGCATGAACAACATGGGGCGTACGGCTCAAGTTTCGCCGCGCATGCAGCGCCGTTTCCTCCACTGGCGGCCTTTGCTCCAATTCATTGCCGCACACGGGGCGCGCTCGTCCGCAGATTCGCTTGGAGTGCGCTGCTTGCCGCTTCGCCGTGATGAAAACTAGCGTGCCTAAGAGGAAAAGACCGGGCTCTAAATATTGTTGTGTAGTTGGGTGCCACAACAGCGTCGCAAACACGAAGGGAAAAGAGCCCATCGTCAGGTTCTATTCGTTTCCCGGCAAGTGGTAAGAGACAAACCGCCGAGAAGCCTGGATTAGGGCTGTGCGGCAGAAAAAGTGCGTGACCGTTTCTCTGTCTTTCTCCTGTCATTCAGTAGCTGAACTGCACTAAATTACCTTGCTTTCTAATATCTCTGATGGCTCCCCGTGGCTCCCGCAAAAAAACACACGAATATGCAGCAGGCACTTCGTGAACAATGCGAAGAGCGAGAGCCAGGCCGAACCAGCCTACCTGCCGACTCTGTTTCCGGATGTTTACAAAAAGCGGCGGGTAAGCGGTGAGAGACACGAAAGGTAAGATGAAGGGTAGAATCAGCCAGATTTCGCACTGACTTATACTCGCCCTGCTTTTACCACAAGTGGGCAAAGCGGAGTCGATCAGCTGGTAGAAATTTGACGTCGCCTCATCCGCCCGAGGAATCCTCACCCGTGGACGTGCTGTCGAACGCGTCGGAGGCCGACTGCTCGCCAGACGCGAATGCGCAATCAAAAGCCTTCGAGCAGGGCTCGCTGCTCTTAACGGAGGTGGAAGTCGACGCTCAGCAGTTCACATTGACTTGCGTTGCGGTTAGTTGTCTTACAACAAGCAGATCGCAAACTATGTGACCGGTGGCATGTAGCTCACCATGTATAATTGTTTTTCTTCGAACTACGCAGGAAACGCAGACAGATCCTGTGTGCTGCAAGGGTCCTTTGCAGCTCATGCTGTCTGCAACCGATGGAACCCATGGGTCCACACAAGTCACTCACTTTGCTTTAGACTTCACTTTAGTATCACCACCTTTGTGTACTTAGCCTCTGAGCGCGAACACATTCGACAAGAGCGGTAGAAAGAACACAAAAAAGAGAAAGAGCGTTTACCTTCAGACGCACATCGTAGAAGACATTGTCTTGCACTTGTGAAACGCACTTGGCGTTCAGCCGATGCTCGTCTGCTTGTACTATCTCCTCCACCGCGAACACATGTTTCACGAGTAGCTTCCCCTTCGTCAGGTTCGCCTCCCTAAAAAATAGCTCACAGTTTTTGAGAGGAAGGAAGCCGCAATAGAACGCCAACGTGTTACTCGCCATTGAAAACCAGCAGCGGCGGCACGGCAGCTCGGTATGCCTGCGGCCAACTAGGGCGGTTCTCCGCTAGCAGCGCTGCTAGTATCGCTCCGGCGCGCCACCTGGCCCAGCCGTACGCCCTTATATGTACCACTTTACACGCTAACCTAGTGAGAAGTTTATGATTTTTATGATTAAAATTAATGTGTTGATTATGCTTTAAGGCAGTATGAGATGTTCGCACTTGATATAATTGCTAAATAATCAACAAAGTACTACATATCAAGCTAATCTTGTGATGGACACAAAACTTGCTCTTTATTTTCGGTTTCCTAGGTTATGGTTGGTCAACATTTTTACTTGTATCTTTGAAAGAAACTGCTTAGCCAGAAGCTTTATGCAGCAAAAATGAAGAGCAATAAGTTACGCATTTACCAAAACCCCAAAAATGACATTTTGGAAAAAAAAAACCACTGCATATCCACGGAGTGAATGATGAGTGGGGCGAAGCTTGGGAAGGTATCATCGGTAAACTGTCTGTCTGTCTGGTGGTCTGTCCATCCGTCTGTCTGTGACTCACACTAGCGCCACCACTTCAGAGTCATCTATAAACTAGGCGGACAAACCCACAGCTTTAAGAGCTTCGCCCCTAAAATTAACTTTTTCCACTTGGCCTCGTACCTTAATACGATGAACTCGTTTGTGTACGACGCCATTGAAACTTCACTGTAAGGGTGATATTCCTGTAATTTTGAATTCAACTGTTTGCTGCAAATTTATCAAAACTAATTACTTGAAAGATGTGTGTCTATCTCGGCTGTTTTGGTCGCATTTTGATGGAGGTGAAATGCTAGAAGCTCAATAAGAACTTATTGTTGGGTGAGTTGGGGATTACATAACATGGTGGTTTTAGCGCTACAAAAGAAGTGCACATGTGAGAGACATACCTGTCTGTCCTCTGTTTCTCACATGTGTACATCTTTTGTAGTGCTAAAATCATGATCTTATGCTAGAGGTTCGTGTGCTGTGGAATGTTACTGCGTGTTAAGGAACACCAGGTTGTGAAATTTTCCGGAGCCCCCTCCGCTATGGCGGGTTTCTTAATATTGTGATGTTGGGTCGTCGGACCTTTGAAATCTTGATAAACTAGTTCCTTATTTTGTGATGAAAAAGGTGAGGCCATCAGTTTGGAAGAAAGCTATAAATAGGTTGATGGCATTTTGGGTTTGCTCACAGGGCCTGTGCAGCAGCGCGAGGCATATATTCCAGAACATGTCATTGTAACTTTTGGAAGATGGTTATTACGTTGCATGGTTATGACCAACACCTATGACTAGCATACATAAAGTTTGGTTGAATGGCCCCCTCCAAAAATAATTTGGCTGTGCTCCTGTCGCAGTGATCAAGAAAAGTTTTTTCATATTGCAATAATGACAATTTTTTTTTTGTAGGCAGAGGCGTGGAAGGGTGTTGTGTACAGGTATTGCTGAAACAGTCTATCACTTCTGCCTGCATAATTTCATCGGCCAGTTGGCTGATGCTGTTGCTGAGAATTGTAAGGGCTATGTAAACAGGAACAAATTAGAACGCAGCACAACAAGCTTTCTTGCTGAAAGAAACACGAGCGAGTTAGCTGACAGTGTAGAGACAATTTTCTTTAAAGGGCCCCTAAACCACCCAGCGGTCGAAATTTAGTTGAGGTGAGGAAGTTGTGCTTGAGTTTACAACGAGCACGTAACTGTGAGAATTTTTCGAAACGGTGCCGTAGCGCTGCGGGGTGTCGTATCGTTGATCGTGACGGCATTCTGCACGCGATGCGTTTGTTTACTTTAAATGTTTGGGAAAATATTGGAGGGGTTTTAGAGGCCCTTCTACATGCATCGGACACTATGCTGGTGAATGCATGAAGTCTGTACGGGATGGCTTTCAAAAAAATTAGAATAGCTTAACAAACAGTAGCTTCTATGAGGGTTTCTTGACCCACACTATAATAAATAAATATAACAAAGACATTGCAAATGGGCATTAGCTTTATTAAGCCTGTAACAATATTTATCAAGTGCAGCAGCTGACTGACTTACGTTATTGAGGGGGAACTGATTTATTGGTACTCTCTCTGTCTTGCAACAAGCTCTCAAACGTGAATTCACATAAATTTCAAGCAAGCAACCTAGAATATGCTTTGCGTGTATATCTCGTGCACTATTAAATATATAAGCTGCTTAATTGCCACCAGTTTGCCTTATGGTTCTGTGATTCCGTGGGTTTTTCGCTAACAAGAGTTAACTTGTATAGTGCCCGCATAGGACGTCTTTTACTTTAGCAATACATAATATGCTTTCTTTAAACTGTGCAGGGTGAAGGTAGTCACTGTGCAACGAACTCTCGGCCACCCATGAATGTGAGCACCTGCAGTGACTGATTTGCATCGATAAAACTGAACCACCACTAGTAGCATCGTTGGATTGCACGACCACCATATGCATCTACCATGCACATTGCATTTTGCTGTGGCCATCTTGTCTACTGGCATCTCACACAAGCTCTATAGCACCCTTCGGAGCATTTACTACAGCAAGTGGGTATTAAAAAAGAGTAAAATGCAGAGTGAACTCAGAAGCACAGCAATGCTTTGCACAACATCAGACTATGGTATAGGCATTTCATCTTGTGTCAACAAGCAAGTTGTCATGAACAGCTGCACCTGCAGACTGAGTGAGTAACTGTCGTTGCAACAGCAACTGATACCCATAACGTCAGCCGGTTTTCTTGCAAGGCATTTGTTATTTAGAGTTTCAGAAAGGAAGGCATATTAGTTCAAGTGACCTCTACATAACCAGATCGGTTCAGCCTATGCCTCCATTATTCTACTTCAAGACCTTGAAGAATAGATGGCTTTAAACTTGAGGTTTAGCTAAATGGCCACTGCATTGGGTCTCATCACTGTTTTCCTCTTTTGTGCATTTGCGAGTTATTTTACTTAGATGTCACTCTGATCTGTTAGTATATAGAATGTTTTCATTGGCCGTGGCAGTTGCATGCACTCATGATAAAAGTGAAAATGCTGGAGGCCACTAAATCATGCAATATCAGCACATGGTAATGAACACATTCTCTGCGGCAAGCTTTCTTGATGTCTCATTTTATGTGTGGAGTGACCCGCCGATGGGTCACTGTTCTGTCATGGCATCTAACAGCAGAAAAAATTTCTTGTGATAATTTATGTCCTGTTGAAATAAGTATTGCACCCTTGCATTCATGTTTGATGAAGTTATAGCGTCAGCAAACATATGCATGGTCATAACATCGTGGCTGCATAGGAGGATCGCAGCCTGTCATGGTGTAGGAATGAAATTTTTTTTGTTTCGGTTTCAGTTTAGTTCTACTGCAAAAAGTTCTGTTCCATTTCTGTTGTGGAATGAGAAAAAAAGTTTGGTAATGGTGCGTAACGTTATTTATATCATCATCATCATCAGCCTGACTATGCCCACTACAGGGCAAAGGCCTCTCCCATGATCCGCCAATCAAGCCGATCTTTTGCCTCCATCTGCCACGATATAGCTGCAAACTTTTTATTAATCTCATCAACCCACCTAACTTTCTGTCTCCTCTTCGTGCATTTGCTTTCTCTGGGAATCCAGTCAGTTACCCTTAATGACTAGCAGTTATCTTGCCTACATTCTGTGTGCCCTGCCCATGTCCATTTCTTCTTGATTTCAACTATGATATCCTTAACCCCGGTTTGTTCCCTGACTCACTCCACCCTACTCTTGTGTCTTAAGGTTACATCTGTCATTTTCCTTTCCACCGCTCGCTGCAGCGTCCTCAATTTAAGCTGAACCCTCTCTGTAAGCCTTGAGGTTTCTGCTCCGTAGGTAAGTACCAACAAGTTGTAGCTGCTATATGCCTTCCTCTTGAGGGTTAGTGGCAGGTTACCATTCATGCTTTGAGAATGCTTGCAGAATGTGATCCACACCATACTATTTTGCTAGTTATTTCACTCCCATGGTTTGGCCCCGTGTTTACTACCTGTCATAAGTATGCATATTCCTTTACAACTTCCAGTGTCTCTCCACTTGTTGCTGAGCACTAAAATTTCTAGAGTAACAATAGAAATATTTTGTCGGATACTTACTCACCCTCCTTTTAAGAAAGTGGTACAACTGTAAAACATATTCTCCTCGCGTTCTTAAGAGGAACACAACTAATGCTACCACAAATTCTTACAAATCAGCGAAAACCAGTGTACTTCTGAATTGCCTTCTAAAGTGTGAACTGCAGTTATTTTTAGAAAGCTTAATGCTTTGAGTCAAGGGAGTGCACATGATCTTAGAAGCAGCCTGTCATGTGTCATAGGCAGATGAAAGTCTACATGAGTTAACTCTTTTATTACCCTACGAAAATGGTTATTTTTTACATGACGCGGGAAGATTGATTTTGCCTGTTTGAAAAGTACTCCAGCATGCATTGCGCCCCACCGCGGTGGTCTAGTGGCTAAGGTACTCGGCTGCTGACCCGCAGGTCGCGGGTTCGAATCCTGGCTGCGGCGGCTGCATTTCCGATGGAGGCGGAAATGTTGTAGGCCCGTGTGCTCATATTTGTGTGCACGTTAAAGAACCCCAGGTGGTCGAAATTTCCGGAGCCCTCCACTACGGCGTCTCTCATAATCATATGGTGATTTTGGGACGTTAAACCCCACATATCAATCAATCCAGCATGCATTGCAGCGCACCAAATATTGCACAATAAAATGCTCTTCCTAAAAAATATGTGTTGTTGTGCAACAAAAATATTTCAGAGTGAACAAAATTGTGAAAAAATTCGAAAATTTTTGTAGCGAGTTGGTTAACAGTGCAATAAAAAGCACCCTATATGCAAAAATACTCAAAACAAAGAAAAATCAGAATATGCATTTTGAAAATCAATGACCCAGGAACAGTACAAAAGAATAATAAACATATACAAACAGTTTCTATTGAGATAGACAAAGAAAATGGCAACTGAGGTGCTGCTTCATTGCTCGTACCATGTGGTGAAGCATTGCTTGGTTTTTTGTGAGAGATATATTAACTCGTACACTTTTCTCAGTAACTTTTTTTTGTGATAAGAGCCTGCAGGCGTTACAATATAGATGGATGCCTGTGATGCGAATAATTCCTCTATAAATCAGATGTTCAATGAACTTCGATATTTCGTCTAGTGTCGCCTCTTTCCATGAGCCACATTACTCCGCATTGATTGGCGTTCCAATGTACGCATATAAGCATACTTCTTTGCGTTTTTGGCACATCGTAATAAAAAAAACAAGGACGAATAATATCACGAGCAGTTTTAAAACATTTTGCGTTGTTTCGTAGTCAGGGCCACGATGTGCTTCGGTACACTCCTTGGCGTGAGGGGAAACTCTGAAGCCGGCACCAGCACACCGCGCCCCAGCAAGGTGTGGACCTCTCATGTATTCATAATAGCTATAAGATTGTGCACAGAGGTCAGCAGCTACGCACGTGCAGCGGAGGAGACAGTTTGAGGTCATAAACAAAACAAACTCATGAACGACCGCGGATGTCTGAGGCTGAAGGAAAGCATTGTCGCCATAAAACCTGAAGCTGAAGTACTGTCATCATCGAACTTAAGCTTGTGCTCACTCAATTCAGGTGCAGTTGCAAGACAGTTTCGAGCGGTGCGTGTCTTTTGCAGCAAAGGTGCGCACTAATGCGCACGTGACGCCGCCGCCATAGGAGCGACTAGTGACACTAGATGCAGCCCGGTGTCTGATATAACGATGCAAACGAAACCAAAGCTGCTGGAAACTGACTGAGAAGGCCACCTCCACACTTTACACATGCGGTTGACTTTCAGAAATATTTTTTTTGTAATAAATGTTTCCCAATTCCTAGCAACAGCTCTCGATTGAATAGCTGGCAATTATTACTGGTCAGCACAATCAGATTGCGAAGCTGGCACCTTGGTTTGATATTTCACTAGCAAAGGTTCTTTCGATTTCAGAACTTTGATGTTACTGCAGCATACTCAAGAGGGGCATGCACTTCTGTTGAACTCGGCAGCCAACTGCATTTTCCAAACAACACGTGCACATAGGTTGGCGCAAACGTCTGTCAAATATCACTCTGTTGCCAAAATTGGCAAATTCGAATTGATTGTGAAAGTTGAATGGCTGGACTAAGTACTAAAAAGTGCTGGGTGCACGAGAAACAAATCCAATATGCCAAAATCGACGATACGAAGCGTCGACCACTGGTGATCGATTTCAATAGGTGTGGTAATGAAAGAGTCAATACAAAGATCTCTGGTTGCCACTGTTTTAGTTTTTTACACAATTTTAACGCATCATTAATTTAGAATTCTTGCCTGTGTAAACGTGCTAGTACTGTACTCTGAGATGTGCTTTATTGCTCAGATTGCATGACATTTGTTGTCCCGAATTGTCACGATTCGCTCGAGCTGAAAAATTATTTAAAAAAAATTCAGTTTCACTCCGGAACAAAATAAAATAAAATAATGTTTTGGGTATGTTTTGGTTTCGGCCATATATATATATATATATATATATATATATATATATATATATATATATATATATATATATATTTTGTTGTTTTCGGTCTGTTCTCTTCTGATACTCTGCAGTCCATGACCCACCAGTCAGTGACCCACGCCTCAGTGAACGTGTTAAAGGGACCCTGAAACAGTTTTTTGTTTTGCCAGTGCTTAGGCTAGAGCATCATCAAACCATAAACACCACTAGCGACACGCCATGTACCAAGTCCGCTAAGGGCAATTATATCATACCTTCTTTCTCACCTCTGCCTTGCCTCCTCAACTCCCGAGGCACACTGGCATCGCTGGCGATTGCAGAGCTCTCATGAGCACACTCGGCGATTTGAACTTCGTCCAGTCTAGACTTCCCAGATTGTGCATATGTCGGCGGACAATCTCGGAGGCAATCACACAATGCATCTGGCAGAATGCACGCTACCTGGCAGCAGATGAAGATTGTGGAGTGGTCGATATTTGCTTCGACAGGTACCGCCACCCTACCAGCCGATCTTACTTCTGCACTTTCCACAGCCAATCAGATCATGAGCCTCGGTGATGTCGTGTTACCAGAGCATGCCGTTCTGTGAATGGGCAGCTAAAAATGTGATTGGCTTAGTCGCAGCTATCTGCAGCGATGCGCAGCAATATATTAGACAGTTTTCGCATAGAGCTCAATTCAGTGTGTAAATCATTCTTAGGACTAGGTCTACAGGCCTAATGTTTTTGTACAAAATCGTCAAAATCCTTTCAGGGTATCTTTAAAAAACCTCTGATGGTGATGATGATGAATTTACTTTATTCTGGTTTAGAGAACATTCAGTGGAGCCCCAAAGCCTCTCAGCTGGTTGAAATTTTTGGAGCCTTCCATTACGGAATGCCTCATAGTCATGTCGTGATTTTGGCATGTAACACCCCAGAAGTTACGTTATGCATGTTCTTACTGCAGTCTCTGCATTCAGTGAGTTTTTGGAGTAGCTGCCAGCCTTGAGAAAATATGAATAATTTTAGTCACGCTCTATCTCTTAGTATATAAATATATATATTTATGTACAATGTTTTTTAAAGTGATACAGATTATTTAGAAAAATTCTGACAGTCCCACTTTTGTCCTTATCTCACAGGAACTCTGTGTCGATACAGAAGTACATTTTCACAGCTAAAACTATATTGATGCAATTAATTTACAAACCGTTGTCTGTCAACTTTTAAATTATCACAAGTAGACTGTTTATTCTTTCGGTGCAATGCGTGATGCTGATCTGTTTATTAAAGCTATAAACGAGCACAAAAGCTTTTTTTGCTTGCCCCTGAAAAGAAGCAATGCAGTGCTGCCCGACTTTTATGCTTCACAGACAAAGAAAAATTTGATAATGTGGTTTTCTGGTGCTCAGTATAAGCATGTAAGCTCCGAATGCTACATGCAGTGGTAAGGTGATCTCCTGGTGTAAGTGAAATGACTTGCCACGTTTACGAAAGGATACAGTCACGATTCACCCTAATTTCAATTTTGTCACTTCCTTGTCACTGGTAACTCGATCCTGACATAACAGTGTGGTCGCATTTCCTGTATTCCTTGTGCAGTTTTGGTATTACTTTTGCAATTCAATTATGAGTATCTCAAATTATAGTAGATAACGGAACCTGAAGGGATCAAGAAAATATCTTTCATTTAACAGGAGTTCCGTTTACTGAAAGAAGAACAAGGGTGCAGAATACACACACGACATCAATGTGGCGAGAAGCACTTGTTCCGTTTAGGCAGCAGTTCTGTTCAAGAGGTGTCCATTTACTAAGAGTCCATGGTACGTGCAATTTTTGTGGTTTTCAAAAAAGGGTATGCTATGAATGCCATGCACTAAAGCTTTTTGCTAATAATAACTGCCCTCAATCTATTGTTAAGTACCTAACATAAAGTATTTTTTGTTAACTAGTCACAGAAGTATCATTTTAGCAATGTCAAATAAGATCAGCCTTGATGTGGAGTTTATATGCGAAAATAGTAGGAGCCTGTAGGGTTTTTTAACAAATCTTCATTGCTTAAAAAAAGCTCTGTATTGTGTAATGTAGACTCTTCCTATATTGTTTGTCTGCTATCTAGTCATTTCTGTTGACAGTAGAATTGGTTAGAACTTGGTTATTTCAAAATCCTGCTTAATTTGAAGTATTTCTGCCAACTCACATTTTGCCATGCAAATCTAAGCAAATAATTTTAAGCGGTGGTCAGCACCAGTCAAGTTAATTCAAAAACTTTCGGTGCTGTGGGCCAATTAGCGATCCTGATTTCGCCGCGAAAACAGCGGTCCACGATAGTAATGAGTGGCAGCTGAAGGACCTGAGCCTTGCTACTTCCAGTGCAAAAAAAGGGGGGGGGGGGGTAAGGGAGAGTCTCTTGGTCAACCAAATTATTGGCCTCCAGAAAACAAGATGTGCTTCACTGCGACACAGTGGCAACATGCAGGCCCGCAATGTCAGTGCCTCATGATTTACTCTTTTTTTTTTTTTTGAGATTGTAGACATTATTGAAGGACAGTATGATTATTGAAGGACAGTATGGCAAAATTAGCTATGTATGTGAACCTCTGATTGCCGGTTGTTCGAGCTATTTGCACATTTTCACTGGTCGCGGCATTCTTTCCTGCTAGGCAAACTTTGTAAACTAATGGCAAAAGCTTCAATGACCATATTTTCCAACCAACACATTGTAAATTTCATCACTTATCATTATTAAGATCTTTATTCCACCAGAAAGATTGGGTGAATGATCACATCATCACTTGCGGGCTCTGCAAGGAGCAGGCAACATGTTGCCGGCGTATCATTACTGCATTTAAGTGAAGCACTTTTTTTTGCAAGGATGCATTTTAGTTGATTATGACAGTTTTTTTTTTTTCGGTGGCAACAGCGACGCCCTTGTTTCCCCGTGTTTGTGGCAAAAGTAAGACCAGGTATTGCTGAACAACATAACCCTTGGAGCCGCAAACTAGCCAGCTTGGCAAACGACCAGCCCTGATGACATACAATAATTCGAGGTTCCTTCTATCCCACTTTTTGTATGTGCTATTAATTTGAAAACCCGCTTAATTTGAAGATTTCTCATAACCCCAGTGACTTCGAATCACTGAGGTTTTACTGTATATGTGGCTGCTTGATCAGCCAGTGAATGCACTTGCACTCATTTAAGATTTTGAAATATTCTTCTTATTTTTACATTGCTTCCCAGCTGTAACAGCTTTTGCATGTCTCTTTAAAATGTCTCTTTAAGAATAGTACTTCATTACGTTGGTGCCATTTTATAGGTATTTCGTCGTCATTTTTTATTTATGTAAGTTTTCTGAAGCATCATTTTACTTCTCTGTTGTGGCAGCGTATATCCCGTCATGCCATTATTTAGTGCTGTATAACCACAGACAAGAATGCTATAAAGCCAAGCCAACAATTTAAGTTTATATCTGTTTTGCTCAGCATATTTTATAGTTTCATTTTGGTCATATAATTTGTTTGATGTGTACATGATGAACTTGCTAATTTACTAATCTGCTAAAGCTAAGAATGTGTAGTTGTGTACCAGATCCTACTCTTCCTCCGTAATGGCTGAGTCACTTCAGTTCAGACACCTTTGTTCAGCATTTTGCGTACTTATATTTGCTTGGGCATATCTTACTTATGCATCAAGTTTTCTTAACGTGGTTTTTATTATACGTATTTCTTGAATCAAGATAGCCTTCTTCTGAAGACACATAAAGTGTTTTTGTTTTCTAAATTTTTTTGGAGCACTATCATAAATCAGTAGTCACACTCCTTGAAAACAAGCCAATTTATATCTGCAAATGCGTGCCTGTATATTGTGTGAAATTGTCTCTTTCCGGCATAAGTATTGCTTGGGGGCAATCATATCAGCCACCACCATTTACTGAACCCTGCAGGGGCATCTGTGCAAGCAGGCATTTGGTGAGTGGCGTCACTACGGACCCAAGCCAAATGCCTGTTTTTTGATGAAACGCCGAGAAATTTTTCCACAATTCTTTGTGATACACTGGGAAACAGTTGACAAGAATTCCAATACAATCTTCCCTTTTATAATATCCAGCCGTCTTACTGAAACACTAGGCCACGGTTTTAAGGCAACTAGAATGGCTATCGGAGATCTCCTTGAAGTTAACGGCAAAGCACAATGTGAAAAACTGTCTAAACTTTGTTTGATCGGCAACACACCTGTCTCAGTCAGCCCACACCATTTGCCGAACAATTGGAGAGTTGTAATATCTGACCAAGTCTTGCTCGACTTCTCAAAGAGTGAACTCTTCAAGGGCTGGAGTTAACTTGTCATAAATGTACAATGAATCAGAATCAGGTGGGGTAGTAACTAAATCCTCCCAAAACAACTAATTCTCACATTTGGTACCATCATGATTCCAGAATACTTTGAAATAGGTTATTCGAAGTTTTAACATACGATTGTATATCTGGAACTCCTGGCGCTGCCTAAAGCGCCAGCATTTCGGTTTTCAGAGCTGGCGTGGCCGCCAAACATGGACAAAAGTGCAGTTCACATGACCAACCTGCTGACAACTGTGTCGAAACTCCTTACAAACTGCAAGGGTGCGTACCCAACCTACTTTTGCACATGTCCAACATGGAAGAAAGAAAAAGAAATCGTAACACTGAAAGTAACAGGAAACATTTCTTTTAGGAATACGCGAAAACACCTCTCCTTCGTACAGGGTCCTTCATTCGCGGACGTGGCTTGCCAAGGGGCAGTGCCATGATGGTTTTCATCGGCTGCATGTACCACGTCACAGTGAACGGGCGGCAGCGCCATTGGCCCCCCTCAACGGAAGTGGCCTGTGCTGCTGTGTAACCAAAGGGCATGCAGGCCTCTATACCTGCAGGCCTAGGGCCTTCTGGTTTTACTGAAAGCCCCAAAACTAAGACAACCATGCACAAAACTTGTGAACGGACATCTAGCACCTCTCCTGAGGCAATAGATACAATGGCTAGTCCCCACGGCGTCTCATGCGCTGAAGGGTAGGCACAGCTCGTTGGAGCACACCGAAAAGATGAAAACCCCCATTACAGGGCCTGACAAGGGCTCCCTAACCTAAAGTAACCATCCTTTCAGTACACACAGCACTACTTTACACACAAAATGGAGACTCAAATTCTTCAGTGGAACATCAGAGGACTGCTCAGAAACCTCGATGTTGTCCAAGAACTTCTACAAAAACATTCGCTAAAAGGGCTCTGTGTACAAGCAACTCACCTAAAATCCAATAATGCAAACTTTTTAAGCCATTATGTTATGATATATTCCGAAAGGACAGGGCTGATACTCTGGCGCCATCTGGTGGCGTAGCCATTATAGTCAATCAAATATTGCATGTTCACACTTACCACTTCAGATGTCCCTTGAGGCAGCGCTCGTTCGAGCTGTCCTCTTCAATAAACTTGTCACCATTTTCTCTCTATACATACCTCCGCATCACCAGCTCCAAAAACAAAAATTCCAGGTCTTAATAGATCACCTTCCAAAACCTTATCTAGTCCTTGGAGACTTTAATGCTCATAGTAGCTTATGGGACGATTCTTGCTGTGATGCCCAAGGTAATCTGATTGAGCAGTTTTTTTTCTTGTGCGGCGCTTGCCTCTTGAATGAGAAACAGCCAACACATTACAGCCTGGCCAAGAACACCTACTTGTCCCTAGACCTCAGCCTTACATACCCATTGCTTCTACCTCTACTCAAATGGACAGTCATTAATAATCCTTACGGAAGCGACCACGTTCCAATAATTCTGAGCCAGCAATAATTAATGCAGGTCCTATGCAGGCTCCCAGATGGCAAGCGTGACTGGGAAAAGCGTAAAAAATCTACCCGCCTAAGTTGGTCTAATATACGTATGCACCGTATTTACTCGCGTAATCCTCGCACTCGCACAATTCTCGCACTCCCCACGTAGCCCAACAAAAATACGATTTCTTTTTTTTTTCCTCGAGTAATTATCACACCCCGAAAACTGCCGCAATAATGTCGTCTACTCGTTCCAGCGACTGATGATGATAGCACGTACCATCCGGTGCCATCTCCTAAGCATCAAGCGTACTATTATTGCACAGAGATTCAATACAATCCAAGCCAAGCCGAAGTGGCAAGTGCGTGTTGTGGCGTGTTTTGTATGTTGTGTTGGTAATCTTGTCACATTATGGAGTGATACTGAAGCTACACGGCTGTTTTCAAGTTTTTTATTATGGGGTGATACTGAAGCTACACGGCTGTTTTCAAGTTTTTTAAGTGATAGATCATGCCCTAAACAACGGCAACAGGGCCGTCGGTAGGCCTTTCGGAGTCTACGAGTTTTGTGTTCGCTACTGGTGAGGGCAGCTGAAAGCCACCAAGATGCAATGGGCTTGTCGTGTGCCTAAAACTGGGATTGATGGTAAACTTCATTTCTCCAGAAGGAAACTGCGGGCGCTTTTGTTAAATAGCCATCAGCCCAATACTGTCGTCCTACACTTAATTAGTACTTCTCAAAGCTTGCTGTTAGTTGCTAGTCTAAGAAACTTGATTTGTGGTCACTTTGGTTTTTTTTTTCGCTCTGTGTGTTTTCTTGGAAAGGGAAAGTTTTTTCCGCATAATTCTCGCACCCCCAACTTTGCATCCGTTTTCCGCAAAAAAAAGTGCGAGGATTATGTGAGTAAATACGGTAGCTTAAGAATAGTTGCAGCTGTTTTG